AGGCCCGGAGGGGGAGCCGCGGCAGCGTGGCCGTGCGCGCGCCCGCGCCGCCCTCGCCCGCGAAGATGGAGGAGGAAGAGGAGGACGCGATCGCCATGGTCCCCAAAGACGAGCCGGAGGACATGGACTTTCTGTCGGGGCTGGAACTGGCCGATCTGCTGGACCCTCGGCAGCCGGACTGGCACCTGGAGCCCGGGCTCAGCTCGCCTGGGCCCCTGTCCTCGTCCGGCGGAGGCTCGGAGAGCGGCGGCCTGTTGAGGGGGGACGACGACGACGAGACCGCGGCTGCCGAGATGCAGCGCTTCTCTGACTTGCTGCAGAGGCTGCTGAACGGCATCGGAGGCTGCAGCAGCGGCGGCGACCGCGGCAGCGGGGAAAAGAGGCGGAGAAAGGCCCCGGGAGGAGGCGGTGGCACCAACGACAACAACCAAGCGGCGACCAAGAGTCCCCGGAAGGCGGCGGCGGCCGCTGCCCGTCTTAATCGGCTCAAGAAGAAGGAGTACGTGATGGGGCTGGAGAGTCGAGTCCGGGGACTGGCCGCGGAGAACCAGGAGCTGCGGGCCGAGAATCGGGAGCTGGGCAAACGCGTGCAAGCACTGCAGGAGGAGAGTCGCTACCTACGGGCCGTCCTGGCCAACGAGACCGGACTGGCTCGCCTGCTGAGCCGGCTGAGCGGCGTGGGACTGCGGCTGACCACCTCGCTCTTCAGAGACTCGCCCGCCGGTGACCATGACTACGCCCTGCCGGTGGGGAAGCAGCCGCCGGAGCCGCTGGAAGAGGACGACGCGGCGGGAGGAGTGTGTCTCCATGTGGACAAGGATAAGGTGTCGGTGGAGTTCTGCTCGGCGTGCGCTCGGAAGGCGTCGTCTTCTCTTAAAATGTAGGGTCAAGTAATCTGCTCTTTATCCGCGTTTACCCCTTTCTACTCCCTTACACCATGTAAAACACCTTAGTGGGACATCTTCACCGGACACATTTCAGAGGCGGAAAAAAAAAAGTAATATTAAATCTTTTAAGTGTTTAGCTAAAAGCATGAATGTGACACTGTAACCAACTCCTAATGATAACCTGTGACTATTAAATCTCTCTGACAGTTTCTTTTTTAGGTGATTTCCTTCCTGCCAGGCTCCGTTGTAGGGGTTACAGAGCAGTGGTTCCCGCCTCACAACCTGGTAAGGATCCATCTCTTCCCGTAACGCTCATGCTCTGCTGTTTAGCCTACTTTAATGGGCAACATCTCAATTTGTGTGTGTGCGTGTTATATTTTTGTTTGTTTTTCTTTTTCTTTTTCTTTTTGGAAAGGTGGGAGGGGGATCTTAATTTGGGCCCTGTCCACCCTGGAAACAGACTTGTGCTGGTCAGTAATGTACTTAAAGTGACTTCTGGTTGAAATAGCTGTTAAATGTGTCCCCTTGTTCAGAGTTGCGTGTACCTAGCTCTTCTGTCCCCAGTGTGGACATGGCCTTGGATGACATCGGTTCCAACTGTACACTGAAACCTGCTAATAGAGATACAGTTTGGAGACAGTGAAACAGGTGAAGTTGAATGGAAGTTCCGAGTTGTACAAGGTGCAAATTGGAATTCCAATTGTAGAGCAACTTTTCAGAGGTTGACAATAAGTATTTGAGGCATGCACAAATGTGGTATTTTTCTGGAGATGACAAATCTCTTAAAATACTCAAGAATGCCTTCTAGTTTTCAGTAGAAAATACAGCAATACAGTCTATATAAGATTCTAGTATTTCATCACTTGAGAAGTTGGAAATTAACATACCCATCAGATTTCTGTGTCTGAATTAGGGGGTAATGAAATGTTTTCTTTGAGGACCAGCACAGTAATTACCTATCACTGAGTTTGAAGAAATTGTTGAAAGCATTTATTTTTGTTGTATTAAAATTTAGGCTAAATTTGTGTATGATTAGATACTGAAGGTTGTGAAATGTGAATGAAAACATGTAAAGTGAGGCTTCACAAAGAATCTTGTTTTCCATATTTTGACCTTTTAAATTTAAATCGTTCTGGCCACTTAATGATATGATTGATACTGTTTTTCCAAAGATGGAAAATGTTCTTTCCTTGAAATACTGTTTATTGTCCACTTGTCTAAATCTGTGTTCCGATGTCCTGAAGTGCAAGAGACATTAAATTCTTTGTGAAACATCACTGTTTGATAAAGGATATACGTATTTAGCATCCTTGTTTTTCTTTGTGCTAAAGTGGATACAGCTGTTGGGGCAGAAGAGACGGGACCAGCTGCTGGCCACATTTCCTGCTTTATTTTAAAAGGTAGTATAAGAAATAAGGAAAAAGAGGTAATATCAGGGCTTCTGCTGTCTTTTATTTTTAAAATGTTCATAATTAAGTATTTTCCAGCAGTCCAAAGATGTAAGTTATCTTAAACGTAAGATGTTTTATTTTGTTATTTGGTTATGGAAATGGAATCTTGTTCTTGCACAACTAACTGTAATTGTTTTGTTGCTAGATAATATGATTTGAGACCTAAATTAGTCTCTGGTTTTCAGTATATTACATTTTGTAAAGTTATCCACTGCACTTGAGCATGAATGGGTAGTAGCCAAACTCTCACAACTTGGAGTGATGGACCTGCTTCTTCAAGGGCAGGAACAAGCCCCCACAATGCAGCTGCATGGATTTTAGTGCCTACTGAATTATATATATAATATATATAAACCAAAAGTAGTTGGAAAATTATTTGAAATGACTAATTTGTGCTCTTTCTGAAATATGTTAAATGTAGCTTTTGAAACAGAAGCCTTGAATTGAAATTTAATACTTGAACATTTTTGTATATATTTCTTTGTATATAATTTTGTGCAGTACCGATGACAAAAATATGGTGTCATAATAAAATCAGGTTTGTTGATCTTTCAGTTATGGGCTCAAAGAATTTCTTCATCTTTAACATGACATTGGAAAGTAGTGGATACAAATAGGAAAAATGATTGTTGTTAATACAGACTGTGAGCTTAATCAAAAGGTTCTGGAAGCAGTTAGTTTGTTTTCCTAAAAATTACACATTTCCGTGGAATATTTTCTTAACGTCTGCTCTTCCTGCATTTGAGATGTGGGCTTGGGGAGAGTCAGTTTCTGAATTGGGATGTTTTGAAATTCCAAGTACAGACTTTTAGAATGTCATTTTATAAATGGCAGCTTAGAGAATTTAGAGAAGTCTTGACAATGGCAAGATTAGAATGGCCTAATTTTAAAGCTGCTTTGTTAGGTTCTGTATGTTTTATTAACTGTCTTTCCTATTTCCATTTCATTGTTTCTTTTCTAGTTTTGGTGACAGTGATTTTGGTCATTTTTTTTCCTTTTTTTTTTTTTGAATCAACTCATGGTCTTGTTTTTACATGATAACTGCATGTATTTAGGACCTATCAGGGGCTTTAAATAAATTTTATCATATTTATGTGTAAGCACATTTTACTGTAAATGTTTGGGTTTCTCAATTGACCACAGTTGTTTATCTCAGTGTGTAGTAAACAGTATCTTAAAGTGTCCTGTTCACTACTTGTTAATTAAAAAAGTTATGATTAATATAAAACTGTTGTCTTACTATTTTTAGAAATTGTTATAAATAGTATTTTGGTAGAGAATTCTGGAATATAAAATATATTGAAATTTTCAGGTTTGGATGTATTTAATGTGATGGTTGAGAACAATTTAGTATTTAGGGAACTATCAGGTTTTATTCCTGATTTGTACCTTTGGTAAAAGTGATAGAAAACCTAAAGATAAAGCTTTTTAATACCTGTCTTCCTATGGTAGTCAATATTCATCCATTAATTAACTACCTAACACATATTGGCATAGTATTTCTATACTAGTGACTTAAGTTTTATCCTTTTTTTTAACCAGGCTTAACTAAAAAGTACGTTTGTTAAAAATGTCACACCTCTGATATATCCAACAAAGTATTTTAAATATTTGTGCATTTTATACTCGCTAAATTAATCTCTTTCTCTTCTCTTTAAACAGCTTAGCAGTATCTGCAAAAACGAATCTTTTCCTACAACCTGTTAACTGACTGGACTGATGGTAACAGTAATTGTGGGAGCCATGTCGGTCAAAAATTTGGCATCTGCTGCAAAACATGAATGCCATTTCCAAGTTCCCAAATTACTTCTATACTGATTACACTTTCCAGATATGGAGATATGAAAAGATTCTCTGGAATGCTTGAAAGACTTAATAGAAATCCATGAGACTAAGTTAATTTTGGAACAAAATTACACCTTTTTTTTTCTTTCATGGCAGTAACACTAAATTTATTGCATATTATAAAAAATTGTAACCATTGGAGAAGAGAATTACAGTGTTTTTTTAAGAAACATTAGATTTTTACACAATCAAGAACACATTCTGTGGGCTTAGATTTAGTGGGCTAGCCGTGACATAAGTAGGTTAGCAGTGATCACAGAACTTATCATGAGTTTGTATTTCTGGAATGTAAAGAACTGCTTTGGAAGACAGACACCTTGCTGAGTAGAATAAAGTCCTCAACTTAAAGAGTAGTGTTTTTAAATAGATGCATTGATTGTGTAACAATATTTAAAAAGTGATTATGATAATATGTGGGTGGTATTGCAATTTAGGGTTACATGAGTTTGTGTGCAATCCCAGGTTTGGCATTTTGGACATTCTGAGTACTTGATCCTGTTTGAATGTGTTGAGGTTTCTGATGAATGATACAGTTTCTACTGTTCTGTTAACATTTCTGAGTGTTCTGTAAGGACCTTCATAGTTTGGATGATAATGGCTTATATCATATTACAAGTAAAAAAAAAAACCACTCAGAACCCAGTCATTTTTTTCATTATTGTTGGATTATACTAATACATTTTTCATCTGCTCTAGACTAAGTCATTTTATTTTTTGGCTCACTTGGGTAATAACGCAGTTAGAAGAGGGAGTTGATAGGAAGTAGTGTTATTACACTGTAACTGTCTGATACTCAAGATTCATTCAAGTCTGCTCTCTTTCTTGTATTCACCTATGTGTTCAGTGTTCATAAAGCCAAAGAGTGAAGAGAATTCCCACAGGCTTATATTTAAAGTAGGTGATGCTCCTGTAGTACAGCTGATCCACAGTCAGGATCAGGTTTAGGTACTGATACTTTGGTATCAAGATGCAGTGTGGATAATTCGCTAATAATGTATATATTAATAATACACAGTTATCTGGTTGAGGTATTTTGAAGGTAGAGATAAGTGCTTATAGATGCAGTCCTTTTTTTTGGGGGGGGTGGTTTTTCGAGACAATTGTTTCTCTATATAGCTTTGGAGTCTGTCCTGGAACGTGCTCTGTAGACCAGGCTGGTCTCAAACTCACAGATACATCTGCCTGCCTTTGTCTCCCGAGTGCTAGGATTAAAGGCATATGCCACTACTGCCCGGCCATATATATACTTTTTTTTAAACTAAAACAAATGATTCTTCAAAGTGGAATAAGTAATATTCATGCCCCCCCCCTTTGTATGTTGATTCTAAGTTGTAAGACCCACCTTTATATTTTTATTGTGTTCCTGGGTCAGTTCTCTACTCCCATCTATTTATTTACTTAGGAATTAAAAAGGCCTTCCATTATGGCCACTACAGAATTTTTCATATATTTCAGTTTAAATACTATTATGTGTGGGCTCAATATTTAACCGGTTACCCTTTTTTATATACTAGTCTATATAATTTTTGTTGATTTAAATTTACTATCTGAAAACATTTTATGTTAAGAACTAGTTTATAGATCTAGTCATAAATTATGTTTGGAGCATTGTATAATCCTGTTGTGTAAGAATTTGAATTTTATTATAGCCCAAAGGAGTTTCCAAATTGTGTATTTTCCTGTGGAGGTCTAATTCCTAGACCCTTCTGGCTCTTAACTGAGTTTGGATTTTAATAATATATGTATACAAACACATAAGTACACACATACATATATGCTATGTACAATGAATATTCTTTAAAGCCTTGTCCCTGGACAGAGTAGATTATAAAATCCTAAACATTTTTAATGGTTTGTCTACTTTAACTGGACTGAAATCTTAACCATTTTCCTCACTGAGGCATTCATTGCTCTTAGGTCTGAGCTACAGAAGGCTTAAGTTTCCATAGGTTTTCATGTTACTCACAGTTCATGTTATGTACCTGCCTTCTGAACAGACTTTTTGTAGACTTGAAGCAGTAGACTAAGCATTTATTGCTTAGTTGCCCATTTCTTGTTTTGGTTTGGTTTTTTGAGACAGAATTTCTCTGTGTAGCTTTGTGCCTTTCTTGGAACTCACTCTGTAGCCCAGGCTGGTCTCGAACTCACGGAGATCCGCCTGGCTCTGCCTCCTGAGTTCTGGGATTAAAGGCGTGCACCACCACCGCCAGGCATTAGTTGCCCATTTCTACTAGTTTAAAAAGAGTATTTGACTATGTAGCAGAGCGAAGAGTTCAGGAATCATTTTGTGATAGAAACAGTTAAACATTTATAGCTAGAGTGTTAGGAGTAAGGTCTGAGGACCATTTCAAGCATAGTAAACAGTTTGTACTTATCAAACAACATGGTTATATCACTAGATTTTGAGTTACATAAGTTGAGTATACCATCTATATACCTAAGCAATCTAATTAATTATATTTAATAAATTATTTTTTTTACTTTGATCAATTGAATTATGAATTGAAAGAGAATTTAGGTGGACAGTTTTGTATCAGAAAGCCTTTACTTTTGCTAATATTCCTTGTAAAATAGGCAATTGTGTACAAAATACATTTATTTTCTCATTGTAGTTCTAAAAGTAAAGCATATTAAAACTTGGGAACTCTAGAAAGGAAGCAAAAGAAATCACATAATTAACTCAGGAGAAGATACAGTAAACATTTTTTCCTTTCTTTTGGAAACTTTTTCCTTCCCTCATAATTATACTTTTTTAAAAAAATTGAGTAGAGAGTGCATTTTATATGCATCTTTACATTCGAAGAACTGCTAAATTTCACTTAAATTTTAATAGCAGCCTTGTTTCATTGTTGGAGACAAGGGTGTTGCAGTGGACTAGAAATCACTACAGAGAGCTATTATCAAACTTGGGACAATGGCCCTGCCTTTTCTTCCCAATTGCTAGGCATGCCTAGGTATTTTTTCTTTAGACAGAAGTCTATTTCACATGCAAAGCTGCCTTTTCTAAATCAACAAGTCACAGTATTCGGAAGGAATAGTTAAGATGTACTTATGAATGAAACCATACTTAGTATAGTTTTAGACATTGTTACACTCTTCTGTGGTGTGACTGGCTGCTTCAAGATTTGGTCTCGTGCATTGCCCAGGCTATGTATCCACAGCTCAGGCTCTTAGAAGCTATGTATAGCTAGTGGCCAATATTAACAGTGCAGGTATTTTGGACAGTGTTCATCTGGATGCTGCAATAGTGGTAGTTTAAACAAGAAGGCTATGAATCACTTGGGGGGAAGAAGACTGTGAAACATAAATGATCTGAGGAAATGACTCCATGAACTTGCATCAGAAAGCAAGGTTACTCAGGCAGGCATTGAATTAGAGGTTAACTTGCTCAGTCCCGTACATGGGGGGAAGAAGACGCTCAAGCCTGAGAATCTAAAGAACTGCCCCATAGTAGGTTGAAGCTCAAGGTGACTTGGTTAACCCTGCAGCTCCCAAGGACATAGGCTGGGATTGGTCCTTTGTGAGGAAGACGTGTGGCACTCATGGAAACAGTCTGAATAGTGAAAAAGAAGTAACAGGCTATATATTAAGTCGGAAAAAATAGTTCTCCTTTCTGTTTGGCTTTGGGAGGACTTTGTTCGGAATTGCTGTGTGTTATTTTCTTCTTGTGCTATAGACCAAGCTAAATGCCTTAAAGTAAAGGACTGGTCCTGGCAATGGCTAAGAAACAGTATTAGGCAAGTTAGAAAATTTATGTTCTCTTAAATTTTTTTTTTTTTTTTTGGAGCTAGAGATTACATCTAGGTCCTCTTGCATGCTAAAATAAGCATTCTTACATTCCCAGCCTTGAAACTATGACCCATATGTAGTTTTTATTGGGGTTCCAACTTTTGGTGCTCTGTAGGCTTTTGAGTTGTATCTTTTAAAAAAAATGAGTATTTTTAATATAAGAGACATGGCACGGATTATTTTCACCATTTTATTTTATTTTATTGATTTGCTTTAAACCAGTGAAGTTTCAGGTTCAGGTGACTGAAGGGCCTTTATGAGGAGTTTGTATTGTCTCGACGCAAGGTATGCTGCAAACACACTCTGAAGTAAAATGGGAAATACCATCTTTCTACAGACAGGCTTAGAAACTGTAATCCAGTAATAGAAGAAGTTTTCCTTACTTGGTAGAAAGCTTGATTTAAACCTATAAGAAAGCATATTGATTATCAAACATGTAAGTAAGTCCCACAAGTCTTAAGTTAAAAGTATCTAGAAATAATGACAGTTTCCCTTTTTTATTGGCATATGTATTCACTGTTGGTAGCAATGGGTTTCATAGACATTTTCATGAATACCTTCTCTTCAGTCTTAAAAAATGACTGATTTCTTGTGCTTCTTTAGTTCACCTCTGGAGGTACACAGAATAGACTGCTACAAGAGTTCAGAGAACAACTGGGATGATTTTGGTGTGGAAGCCTTACATGTAGCAGTTTGTTAATAGCATTTTCCTTTAGGACACATGCACACTCTTAAGAATATTTTATATGATATAGCTGTTAATGCTAGACTTACAGTACTCAAACTGGTTTGTTTTGTAGCAAGCATTCAATACACAATGAAGGTTAGTAGCCTGAACTGTAGATGCACAGCATGACAGAACTATTGTTAAACTCCAGAGAAGGGAAACACTGCCTTTGGTCTAAATGACTTAACAGGAGAATATATTTGCTCTTTAAGTTCTGAGTTCCTTAGGTAGTCATATAAGTAAAGGTTTTTAAAATAGAAAACAGTCCTACCTGGCAGCAAGGCCCCCATTCACAGCTAGAGCAAAAAGGATAGGGTATACGCCACCCATAACAAAACTAACTAGTGCGCCCCGGCTCATGGCACAAGCTTCACAGTTCAAATCACCTAGGAAATAAATTGTGTAAGTGATGGTCAGGATATTTAAACAAACATGATTTAAAGAGCAGAGGGTCCACATTTTATTTTTAGTGACACAGTAAAAATGATTTTATAAGTTATGTTCAAAGGATGGAATATAGCTCAGTGGCATGAGTACATGCTTAGCATGTATTAAGGCCTTGGGTGGGAAATAACTAATAAACAGGAAAATAATTCTTTTTTTTTTTTTTTTTTTTGGTTTTTTCAAGACAGGGTTCCTTTGTGTAGCTTTGCGCCTTTCCTGGAACTCACTTGGTAGCCCAGGCTGGCCTCGAACTCACAGAGATCCGCCTGGCTCTGCCTCCTTAGTGCTGGGATTAAATAGGAAAATAATTCTTAACTTGATCTGGATTCTTAGAAATCTGAACTGGTATTTAACAGAAAATAAAACATAAAATTGTCCTCCTTGACAAACCTATGGTGGTATTTTTGTTTTCATTTAGAACATACACAAAATAGGATACATGGAAGGTTTTTTTTTTTTCTAAACACGACACATGCACATAGTACTTCCAGAGATTACAGTATTGTTCCCCACAACATACTTTCCCTTGAAAGAACTTCTGAACAGAAGACACAAAGGCAGCTGCACTACAGGAACGCTGCTTCAGCTCAGGAAATAGGACTGTTGTATATGTACTCACTGTGCTTGGTTGGCGGACCTAGTGTGAATTAGTTGTTGCATAGCAGGCTAGCAAGATTCAGTCTTCCCTAAGTACTGCATTGTAGCCTACAGCTACTTGGTATTAACATTTTGGTATTAGGTGAAGCTGCAGATAGTGAGTACTAAGGCAAATAATGAAGGAAAACATACCTCTACTCAAAGGTAGGCTTACAAAACCTCCATAAGTCGTGGTTGCTGTCAAAAATGGCATCATGGCCATTGGTAAGCTAGAAACTAGTCGAGCTTGGGTCACGTGCAAGATGCGCCGATAAAGACTGTTTGCTATTAGGCCACCAAAACCAGCATTAAGTCCAACAAATACTGATCCATGTTCAAGCAGATTCCTGAGGGTGAGGAAAAAAAGAACCTGTTTCCACAATTTGGTTAAGTTCTCCAATTCTGGTATGTTACAGAACTTACTAGCACCCTGGGAAGAATGAGACATCTACTCCTTACAGGGTCATAAAACCAAAATTAAATTATAGCTTCATATCTACATTTCTGTTCCAAAAAGGCTTTTGAATTTGGACAACATAAGGATACAGTGTTACTGGCTACATGCATTTTGTGATTTTAATAAAGAACCTTGCCCTGAATTATGTAACAGGGAACAGCTCTGAAGAGGGAGATGCCTGGCTCTTCTGAGCTCCCATGATACTTAAAAAGTACAACACATTCTAAGGTGGTAGGTACTATTTATTATACTGACTTATATCCATTGTATCTATAAACAACTTGTTTATACACATAGGTATTCAACTTTATTTCAGTAGTATGGAATTAATGTATTTCCTTTTACTCTTTCTTCAAATATTAATATCCAGATTAGGAAATTGGGGTAACTAACATTCAAGTGAACATTATGTTAGGTAGTTTATAATAACTCACTGATGAACATTTAATTGGTAATTTGAGATAAGTAGAGAAATACATTTTAAGCCAAAATATATGTTCTACGTTTCATTTTGAGAGAAATACCTAAAGCCACCACTGAATACTACAAATAGAATAAGCTTTTCAGTTCCAACTCATTCTGGTTTTCACCACTTGTGTTGTGATCTGCAATATGGTTCACTGTTGCATGTTTCTCATTTCTCAACCCACCAGAGTAACCCTAAAAGCACCTCCACTAGGTTCTGTGGTTTTTGCTTAGTTTAAAAGCTGCTCTAGGACATCATGTGGAAGTGTCCTATGTTGTGGAAGCCAATGCTTTCCTGACCTCTCACTTGGCATCCACCAAGCCTGTCATTCACTGAGAACTAGTTATATAAAGGTGATGTGTTGTTAAAGGCACAAGAAAAGCTGCATACCTTGGAGAGTCTCATAACTGGCTCCATGGGAAGAGACTGAATCAAAAGGTTTTCAGAACTCTAGAAATGGTTCAGGAAATTCTACAATTACAGCCCCAATGTGAGAAGGGGTTAAAGAAACTGGGAACTTGTGCACTTATACAAATATATAAAAGTCATAACATGGGAGCCATCCTTACTTTAACCATAGGAACTAATGCTTAGGAAGAGTGGAGTAAAACCTGAAAAGAACAATTTATTGTCTCCCAACTAAACTGGAGTTTGCTTTGGTTTTAAAATTAAACATTTTTATTGTTTCCAAGCTAAATCCTAACCTTGTAAAACCAGCTTAATTCCCAGTGCTCTTTGTAACTTGGTGAAGAGCCCACTGGTAGCCTGCTTCTTCCTTTGTTCCTGTCATCATCTCAGTTCCTTACATCAGTCCTTCAGGCTTTCTTTTGCTTGTGTGTAAGTTTTCTGTTGTTTATCTCAGGAAACAACTAAACAGGAGTGTCTGGGTAGGGGTAGTGGTAAGAGACACACAGTTGTGAAATTTATCAAGTTCTTAACTACTCAGTGTATAGGTTAGGTTCTCTCTTGTAAGACGGTAAGTGCCAGCAAAGAGCGGAATTGGTGTGGTTTCTATACCTGAAGATGCAGCAATCTGACATTTTACATTTTTCATCTCGGCTCCCACTATGCTGTCTGTACACACCAGAGTAACTTAACTATGCTGGTTCTTTTCACTGGTACCTCTTGCCTACTTTAAATCTATTACCCAGACTGGCTGGTATAGACAATAAAAATAGTTGGACCAAATTTTGCCTGCTTAAAACTGTTAGGTTCACTTACGTTTCACTAACGTTTCCTCAAATGTGACAGTTCGTAGCTTTGTCACTTCTGTGATACTGTTCCTGTTCTTCCTAGACTAGCTCCTTTTTGAGGTCTCATGGTTGGGCAAAATCAATCAGTGGGTAAAGGTACCTGCTCCAAGCCTGGCAACCAACCTAAGTTCCATACCTAGGGTCCACATGGAAAGGGAGACCAGCTGAAAGTTGTTCTCTGACCTCAGCGCCGCGCACACACACACACATACACACACACACACAGCTCAGCCTTAGCATGTCATGAATGTAACCCATTCAGATTTTCTGATGGACAAGGAGGCCTAAGAACATTGTATAGAAGTGCACTGTAGTTGCCTTGTACTACCTTTTTAATAGCAGCATGCTTAAATTCTCTTTTTTCATCTTAAAGAGCTTTAAACACCCATTTCTCTGTCATTCCATCTAGCCACATATTATTCCATGGTACTCTTACTAAAGGTAAGCATATAGAAATAAACTGAGAAGATAAGAAATTAAAAAGGACAACTGAAGTTCTTGTTATTTGTAAATGGGTCCATGCAGTTTTATATCACTGTAAAAATTGAATGGAAAAGTGGGTTCATCAATTAGATACTTCCTAAGATGTGTTCTAGTTTCAGTTTCTACAGTGAATTGTGATACACAAAAATGGTGTTTCTGTGCTTCAGTTTTTTTCATCAGAGCAAAAACGGAGCTTAGTTTCCTTTGGTATCCTGTGTTATTTATACGTAAGTCAACAAATTTAGGATAATCTGATAAATCTTTCTGATAAAGACATTTTAATACCATGGACCTTACCTTTCTGGTTCTGGAAGTTGTTTAATTTTTCTGGATATGATATCAAATATTGAATCTTCTTTGATAGTACTTTGTGTACGATTTTCCATTTTGGACCTAAAAAAAAAACATAAAAATCTCATTTAAAAAATATATCTAGAAAAAGTCTCCTGAGATGCATACTTTTGAAAGCTGTAGATTAATTTCAGAATCTGAAAATTCAACGTATGGATAGCATACAAACAAAACATCCCCATCCCTCAAGAAGGCACAACAGAAAACATGAAAAACAGCACAAGAGTTTCTAAGAAATAGATATTTCACAGTCCTTATTTTCTAGGCAATTTACAACAGGCATGAAACAAAAATTATAAAATGTTTAATTTAGACATGATAACATGCCTGTAGTTGCAGTACTTGGGTAGGTAGACCCAGGAGGATCAGCTCAGGGCTATCCTTGGCTACATAGGAGTTTGAGGCCAGCGTGAGCTACATGAAAACATGCACAGGAAAAACCCCAAAGAACTTGTGTTCAATAGACAAGTGTGGGAAAATGCAACAGAACTTCAGATCACGAGAAAAGTAAACAACACCAACAACCAGTAAACTGATAAAATCTTAAACCATTAGGGGGACACTAAGATCACATAGATATATCATTAGGTATCCATGTTAGTTAAAATTAGAAAATTTCACTTGAAAGCATTCCAGAAAGCTGGGACATGCTGTTGATGGAAGTAGAAATTGTAGTTCAAGTGAGTGTAACCACTTTGTGAAAACAATCTGGTGCCGGGTTAGAGAGATGGCTCAGTCGTTGGAAATGGCACTATTGCAAAGGACAAGAACTGGGTCCTCAGGCTCTCCAGCTCTCATGAAAGTCTGCTCACAACTGCTTGTAAATCTAGTTCCAGGGAAATGGATACCCTCTTCTCACTTCCATGGGCATTGCAGGTATGTATACCAGGCCACAGTTGGACACACATATACACATGATTAAAAATAAAATCGGGGGCTAGAAAGATGGCTGGAGTTAAGAGCACCAGGTGCTCTTCCAGAGTGCCCAAGTTCAGTTTTCAGCACCCATATAGTAGCTCCCAACTCCAGGCCCAGGGTGATCATCTTAGGGTCCTGGAGAAGTACCATAAAAGATCATCATCTGCATATGCAAACAGCAAGAGTGATTATCTAGAGAAAGCTTCCAGCATGCTTGGGCCTGCCATCCCATACAAAGGCAAGATGACAAAGACCCTGACAGAGAGAGGTGTGAGCTCCTTTTAAGCATAGCAAGGGGAGGTCCTAAGTCAGTTAGGTCACTTCAGACACGCTTGGCTCAAGCAAGTGGCAATCATATTAGCACATTCTAATCGACTAAGGCTAGAGGCTAGTCAAGGTAGTTTTCCATTTTGGGGCAGGCCTGGACCATGGCTTTGTCTTTGAGCTGCTGTAGAGGCTGGCTGGCCTAGCACGTATTGACGGGGCTGGGGGTGGGGTGGGGTGGGGTGGGGTGGGGTGTTGTTGGCTCAGTGGCACAGGCTTGGTACATCCTATCTCCCTTGTCTCGTTGTCAGGGGCACCAGTGGTTAATTGTCTTTTGTGGTTCTTCCTCAGAAACTGTCCAGTCTCAGGAAACTGAAATTGAGGCCTGATCTCTGAGAGAAGACTAAGCAGCTTGTTATGGCCTCTGCTCCGTCCTCTCAATCTGATGCCCTCTACTGGCCTCTCCAGGCACAGCATAGACATGACAGACCTTTAGACTGAACATGGCGCATATGCCAGTAATTTGCTACCTCTGTACCAGATAGGGCGAATGTCAGAATGGCAATGAATTTTTGGGTACAGATTAAGCTCTTAAAAAAATACTCCGGGTGGCAGTTATGAAAAGCAAAGGCCTGACACCTGTAGTGACACCTGTACTACTAGCATTTGGGAACCCGAGGCAGGAGGATTGTCATTTCCTGGGCTACTGTAAATTGGCATTAATTCTGAGATTAAACTCAATACATCCAGTAAGGTCTTCCCCTCTAGGGCCGCAAGTGAAGAGGGGCTCAGCAGACAGCTCCCCCTCCGTCCTTGCCATCCCGAACATCTCCCGACACTGGCATGTTTACTCACCACTCGGCGGGACGAACGGCACCTTATGCCCTCCTCCCAGCCGCGGTGCTTGCCCAGGTTCTCCCACGCCGCTGTTCACCACAACCTTCACTCGGCTCGCCCGGCCTCCATCTTTGGTTGACACGTGACTCGGTCGCTGCCTCTGCTTCCTGTGGAGGGACTTCCGGTCCGGGAGCTGCTGAACTGCACAGTAGCGGAGAGGGGGCGCGGCTGCAGAGGGCGGCGGTTGGCTAGCCCTCGCCCCGGTCCAGCCTGCGGAAACAGCCATCCCCTGGGGCTGTCAGCCCGAATCCTCCCCTGCTGGGCACACAGCCTGCTTCCGGCTCCCCCGAACGCGCCGGGACGTGTGGAAGCCGCTCGGCTCCCAGCGGGTGTCGGCTGCTCTGGCTAGGAAGTTAGCCCGAGGCTGAGATGCCTTTGCTCCATCTGCTTTCGCTTGGATCGTCAGCTCTTTGTGCCATGTTGTGCTGTGGGTGACTTCCAGGGGAACGGGAGCAGTTCCACAGCGTGCGTTTGTTCGTCTCAAGCATTCCGGGTGTCCCCCAGCAATCTGCCTAGGTGAAACAGGGTTCGGTGAATGCAGTGAAAAAGTAACTGTTCAGAAGCAAGGGAGCCGGCGTGATAGCATAATCTCAGCTTTAATCTCAGTCTTCATGAGCTCCAGGTCGGCCTGGCCTACATAGTGAGTTCCAAACAAAGCTGCCAGGGGATCAAACCGCTGAAGGAGAGACAAAACAAAACCTCTCCTCCCCTCCCCGCTCCCCTTCCCTCCTCTTCTCTCCTCCTCCTCCTCCTCCTCCTC